AACCATTGTAGCTGTTGTTGAAGTTTTACCCCTATTTTCAATGCAGGTACATGAAGGTGCTAAAACTGAAGACAAGGAAGACGACACAGGTAAGCAGTCCATAAATGGTGAATCTCAAAATGAAGATGCCTCGCCAGAATCAATTGGAGAAGAATCGCATGAGAGCCTTCAAGAACCAAAAAAGGAAGAAAAGATGCTGGAAATAGAGGTTTGGTTCAGACCAGATTTAGAAATTTAAGAGCATCGTTCCTGAGTGTAAATTAAAAATTTCATGATTTAACAATCTATGTTCTATATTCTTTCCCTTTCGTCAGGAATATGAACAACACGAAACAACCAACACGTTTGAGGATGATGAAAAACTAACACATGAGGAGGAAGAACTTAGTAAGCACCAATCGACATAATGAATTAAAATTTCACAGTAGTCTCCAATCTCAGGTCAGAGATTATTGCGGGAGAGACTACAAAAGAAATTAAAATCACTGATTGCTTTATAATAACTGCTGCAGGTGATGCTGCCGGTAAAGGTGCAATTGGAAATGATCCCTCAGTTGAAGTTAGCAGTTCTATATCTATCACAGATGAGAAACTTGATAACTTTCAAGTCAAGAATGTTCCAGAGGCAACACCAATATTTAGTGGAGGGGACAAGGATTACAAAGGAGATGATGCTGATGAAAGGAATAATAACATTACAGAAGAAGAGGTATGATTGCCGTATTAGAATGTAAAAAAAACATGCACCCAAATTAAGAATTTAATCCTATGCATAAATGTTTAAGCCTCAATTTTGTTATTCCAGGTACATGATGGACCAGAGATCATATACCCTTTAGAGGCCACCAAAGAAATCATAGAAGATAATAATTTGTTTCCCTTGCCAAAACTGAAAGAGGAAGAAAGATTTGAGAGCTTTAGAGACAACAAGAACAAGGAAGAAAAGTCAGAACGAGGGGTTGATACAGAATGTGTGACAGAAGAAGGACAAAATGAGGATATCAGACCTGAATCTGCTGAAGAAGTTCCAGACCAGGACTTTCAAGTTGATGAAAAAGATGCTGACAAGTTTGAAGGAGAGGTTAGCTTTACCGTGAACGTCATTGCCAACTTCGTTTTCTACCATTAATCTTTTCCTCATAATTTACAATACTACTTGACCATATTCCTGCAGAAACTTGAGAAGTCTGAGGCAGCAGCAGAAGAAAGCATTGCTGGTGAGACAAGTCAAACGGCTGAAAGTCCACAGGAAACACTTAACACTTCAATGGTGAGACAAGAAGATAAATTGCAATTTGAGGACAAGAGTGTCGATACAACAGAAGCTTTGCCAGAGGAGAAAGGCAATGAGGAGAAATCTTTTGTCATTCTAGCTGAAGGAAGCAGCAATGACATCAAGCACAGTGAGACTGTAGCACAAAATGAAAGGAAAATATTGGAGAATGAAGAAGATTCAAAGATCTTGCACGAAAGTGAACAAGGGAAGAAGCTTGAGCATTCAATGCATCCAACATCAGAGGGAGGTGAGAGAATCCCTTCAGAAGCTGATAAAATTCCTTCTCTCATGGAAGGAGTTGCTCAGAACCCTGTAAAAACTCTAGGAGATGAAGAGAAAGTTA